TCCCTTGTCACCATATTACAGAGGCTAGGAAAGCCCGTGTCTTCAAATAACTGAATAAACATTCAAATTACTTGAACATTTTCCAACTCCACAGATAATTTCAAGACCTCAGGGGGGACTAGCTATACTGGAAACATTCCATGAATATTTTAAGACTCCTGAGATAAAATAAATTTCCAATAGCTTTTAGTCCCGTTTCTAAATAAATGGTGTTCAATGCACTTATATAGATACACATCTATATAGAAAGAGCAGAACAGCCCTATTCTGAAATATGTTCATTTCAAAATATATTTGTTTTCTTTTGTGTAACTGTTTGAGATTTCTATTAATTCATGTGGTTTATATTTCTACAACTCATGGTTAGATTATTACTTGAGGACTAAATCACAGTTCTTTTAAAAAAAAAAACTAAAATTAAACTAGTCAATTATTTTTTACCAGTGTTCTTAATATCTATAAGGACCATAAGAAGACTTTATGTCTTGGGAGGTAGAGGCAGAGAGATCAAGAGTTCAAAACTATTGCTGGGTACCAGTGGTTCACACCTATAATCCCATTCACTTAGGAGGGTAAGATCTAAGTATGGTATTTCAAAGTGAGGCTGATCAGGAAAGTCCATGAGACTTTTATATCCAGTTAACTACCAAAAAGACCAGATGTAGATGATTCCACTATAGTGCTACTACTCTTGAGCAAAATAGCTCAGTGACAGTGCCCAGGCTCTGAGTTCAAGCCCCAGGCCCAGGAAAGAAAAAAAAAAAAAAAACCCTTTCTCAGCAATTTTATTAAAATAAAAATTATAGTTTTGGAGAAAAAAGATGTAATGAATCTATGAACCTTTTCACCTAAATGCTGAAAAGTTTCTGAATGTTGTGTAAATGGTTCAAGTGATTATTTGTAAGATAAATCATCTTGTATGTACACAATTAAGAACCCTGGGAGCTGCATTGAAGTTCTTATCATCTCTTTGCCTTTAACTGCTGGTGGGATATTGGGCAGATAACACCTCAAAACTTCATTTTCTTTTTTCTTTTTAATTTTTATTGTAAAAGTGATGTACGGAAGGGTTACAGTTATATGTTAGGTAACGAGTACATTTCTTTTTGAATAGTGTCACCTCTTCCTGCATTTTTCCCCAGTTTTTTCCCTCCTGAGCCCCCCTCCCCTACGAGTTATATAGTTGTATAGTGAGTATCACTGCTGAATTAGTTCACCCCTTTTCCCCCTGTTCCTGTGTGTCCCCTTACCCTCCCCAAATTGGATAGTTACATACAAGACAAAAGGTACATAAATCAAAAACAGCAACATAGGGGGAAAAGCAGAAAGGAAAAAAAATCCCACAAAGAGTAAATTTTAAAAACCTCTTGTTTCCATTTCTTGGAGCTCATTTTGATAAGCATCATTTATATGATCATAAGCACATAGCTATGGAGCCCTTGTGAACCTCTCCTAAGAATACCCTTCTTTGGTCTCACTGTGTGAATGTTTACAGTCCTGTTTAATTTATCATGTCCAAGTGTAATTTTTTGTCTTTTACTATCTATTGGGTTTACTTGTAGATTTATAGGCACATTCTAATTATTACAAATGAGGGAAAACATACATGTTTCTTTGGGTCTGGCTTACTTCACTTAATTTTTTCCAAGTCCAAGATTGATTTTCTTCCTCGCTAAAATGGAGAGGGAAGGCAGATGTTTGTCTAAGCTCCTTACATACCATTATCTTTCTGATTTCAAACTCAGCATTTTGGCCTACCATGTTATAGAAAGCAACTAGCAGCCTGGGTTCAGCTGCTAAAGTCAAGAAACTCAGGTTTCATAACTACCTAACACTATCCAAAGGCAGCGGGAATTTCATTTAAACATCTGGCAATGATTACAACTACTCCATACTGAGTCAGCACAGTGTGACCAGTATCAGATGCACTCCATATACTAAGGTCCATCTATCCTGTTGGAGACTAAGAGTACTTCTTCTCCCACTGACACAAAGCCATTTGTCCCAGCAAGAGTGCTGAAATTCAACAGGGAATTTGAAAGCAACTTAGCACCACCACAGGCCACCACTGCTGCTTAACAAGCGTTCAGGCAGGGTAGGGACTAACCTTCAATGCTGGCTGCTGAAAGCTCTGGATAGGCCAACTCTGCCCAGCGCTGTTCAAATGGACCAACTAGCCTTCATAGGCCAACAAAGCTAAGAGCAAGGAAACCTGGGAAGGTGTGGAACAACATAGGAACACACAAAAATTGCATGCATTTATACTTGCAAGGACCATTCAAGGTTTACCAACTAAAGCCAAGCTTTATAGAAATGGACATTTCTTTTGGTTTTGTTCTTTGCTTTGAGATTCTGGCTATGGAGACTAAATTGGCCTGGAATTCACTGGGTACCTGAGGCTGGGTTTAACTTGCAACTCAACTGCCTCAGCCTCCTGAATGCTGGGATTATAGGTGTGAGCATCACCACACCTCATGAAATGAATATTTCATTAGTAGCTCAAGAGAGAGGGACCCAGTGGGGAGGGGTGCGGGGAGAGGGAGAGACAGAGAAAAAAGGGAGAGAGGTAGGGAAGAAGGCAAGAAGGGGTTGAAACTATGTCTAAAACTGTTACAAGTTTGGCTCCTTTGACTGCGATGAGTCACAAGGTTGGTCCGCTCTTTGAGCTGATGAGTCAGACCTGCCGGAGTATGCCACACTACTGGTTAGAATTTGCTACAGCAAAGTTCAGAATACTTTCGAAATAACTGAGCTGTCACCTTTAGTAGGAAATGAACTGTATGAACTATCCACTTCAGGAGAAAACTAGTAGAAGACAGTGACATAATTACAGCTTTGAAACTCCCCAAGAGTCATTTCCTGTTTCTTCCTGTACACTGGTTGAACAGTCATTTTTTGTTTCAGTTGCTTTGGAAGCACAGGATGTGTGGTCTTACTGGAGGAAGGGGATGTGTTCGCTCACGTTATGATAAATGACTGGCAGGGCTTGAGAGGATGCAACATGAACACACTGTTTTTTCTAAGTTTCCATTTCCGGAGCCTTAACTACACATCAAATGCTTCAGGTGAATGCCCTCACAGGGTGCAAGCTACACTCCCCACTACTGTCTGTGAAGCAGTTCATCAAGGGGAAAGAGGGTGGACTTCACTGTCTGAACTGTCCTCAGGTACTGACTCACTCTGTAGGGAAGGCTGCGGTTCCAGGTCATCCACCCCATGTGAGTCACCTAGCGATGGCCTTTCCTTCTGGCTGGTGAAAGGATTTCCAACAGGTCTTTTAGGAATATACAAGGCAGGATACGTTTCTGAAAAGACTCACAGGTCATGTTAGCAAGCTTTCTGTCACTGTGATAAGAGACAGACAAGGAAGAGAGGGCCTGTTTTGGCAAATAGATTTAGAGGTTTCAGTCCATGGTCCCAATCTATTGGTCCCTTTGTTTTTGGGACAACAATGAAATGCGACATCATGAAAGAAGCACATGGCAGGGAAAACCTGAAAAGCAAAAGACAGAGAGAGGTGTGGATAGAGGTTCTGCCAGGCCACAGCCCCCCAATGGCCTAACTTCCTTCCCCTAGGTCCCACTTACTAAAAATTCCACCAGCTCCCAGTAGCACCACCAGACAGCATCTAAGCCTTCAACATCATAGCCTTTAGGGGACATTTAAGAGTCAAACCATAATAGCCAATGAGTTTATTATTCAGAGAGATGTGTGTGTGTGTGTGTGTGTGTGTGTGTGTGTGTGTAATTCTGGACAGTTGCAATGTTATGCTCATGCTCTTCCTCCTTTAATACAGATTTGACTCAAAATTTATGAATATTAGGAATTATTTGGTGTTCTTTTCTTTAGTTGCTATAACATCTGAGTTCTCTATATAATCTTATTTGGATTGGAATCGCTTTCTCTTATTTATTTATTTTTCTGTTGGACCACAGGGGTTGGCTTCTTTTCTGTCCCCCAAAACAAACTCACTAGATAGGAGCTAGTCAAAGGGCTGTGGTCAGAGTAAGGTGGTCCTCCCTGGGGGGTGGTTTCCTGGTAGAAATGGCTCACTCATGGATAGCAGGACAGCTACTGACACTCCTGTCCATTCATGCTGGTCCAAGTGGCAATGTGGATGACATGTATCAGCTACACATAGGTATTGTTGTCTAATCTTAAGAGACACTAATGCACCAGCCAAAGGGAGAAAGTAGTAAGCAAAAAAAATCATCAAAATGATAGTACTATAAATAACTTTTTAAAAATCTTTGTTGAATACAGAGCCAAACATGTGAGTCCACACATATATTTCCAGTTCTCAGGAAGCAAAGAAAGGCGGGAGGATCATGTGTTTGAGGCCAGCGAGGATCATGTAACAAGATCTTGCTTCCAAAAAAAAAGAGCACAAAGCTTATATTTTAAAATCTTTTGAGATTTAGATACCAATGGAGAGTATAAGAAAAAGTGATACTACTTCTCTTTATTGAACCAAGTCTCTCTTCTGCATTCAACACAAAAAAGGAGATTTTATAGACATCTTTTTTTAAGCAGGGTTCTCTTTAAATCAAAGCTTTATTCTTTCAAAAGACCCAAGACTCAAGAGAAAACTGTCTTCAAGCTAATTCAATGGAGACAATCTCTCATGCTGTAGCAAAACATGGAAAGTTCAATCTAAATTTTATCAGCATTTTGAATGCTAAGTGTTTCACCAAAACATAAGCAAGAATCATATTAAAATCCCCAATTATTTTTTGAGACAGCATCTCTCACTATGTGGACTAGGTCAACTTTGAATTCACAATCTCCCTGCTTCAATTTCCTGAGTGCTAGATTTACAGGCATGTGCCTGCCATGCCTGACTGAATTTCTAAAAATGAAAATTCATACCTCAAATGTCATTTTCTTCTTCATAGATAATGGTCAGCATTAACACCAGCCAAGCTCTTTAGAACCTTGGTGCTATAGGCATGCAGTGTGGGTGTAAGGAGAATGAGGCCTTCAAAAGATCCACAGGGCAGTCATCTCAATAGATACTTTATTTGAAATGGAATGCATTTTGAAAATATGAAAAATAAATCACATCTCTCCAAAATCATTTAAGAGACCTATTTACACAAATTCTGACCATGCTACAATCATCTGTAAAGCATTTTGTACATGGTGATACATATTGTGAAACTTGAAGTAGAGGCTGACCACAGGATGTTAATAGACAATAGTTTGATCTTTCTGCAAAGACCCTCTTCCCACTCATCCAGATTCAGAGTACTGGGGAGCAGACTCCCCTCCCCTCTATGGAGATGTTTCTGATGACTTCAACAAGAATTCCTTTTGAGACGGACCGGACCGAAGGGTTATCAAACCCAGGGCCTCACACAGGCTGGGCAAGAACTCCACCACTCAGCTATCCCCCCAGCCCAAAGCATTTCCGTCTCCTGTCAACAAAGTCAAAGGTGACTGTGTTACTGGATTTTATATAAATCTGGATTGGCATAAAATACTACAGATTAAGTGTCAGACTTCAAAACTGGGTCAAGAAATAGAAAATAGTCTTTTTTTTAAACCCCACTCAACGCACTTCCACAATTAAGATGTATTAGGTTGCTTTTTAAATAAGAATATTTCTCTTGAGAGAATCACATGGCTTCCATAGCATGATCTACCAAATCCAAATTTCAATGTTATTCTGTGGACAGTGTTTCTTGGTAAAACAAGAACACATTCTTTGATACAACAAACAAAACATACTCACAGGCCCATCCTTGTTCAATGAAGCTCTTTGGAAGATCTTTAGAATTAGTATATGTTCACCAGATCCTAAATCCCTTTTCTGAGTCTGCTCCCTCAATGATTAACACCTGCAGTCAAATTAAACCATTTCATGTTCCCTGTGGACACAAACAGGGATGTTTGAACTCACACACTAACAGCAAACTTGTGTCAGATTGAAAATGAGGCGAAATGGGGTGTTTGATATATGAGAGTACATTAAGCCAGATTTCCTAAGTGTTTACATGCAAGAGAAATTCTTTTGAGCAATGTGTAAGATTTTTTTTAAGCCATCAGTGGGAAAAATGTGAGTTATAAAATGAGGAAGTTGGCTTAATTCATACGATGATCAGAGAATTCCAGCTTGCTGGAATGCTCATTTTAAAATGGTTCCTTCACAGACATTTACTATCTGACCTCGGGCATAAGCAGATCTAACTGGATTTCTGCTAAGAAAACAAGTTTAAAGAACTTCATGATGCTTAGCCTGTCCCAGAATTAGTTGTTCTCAGGAAACATGAAAGCCTAAAAGGAAATACTCATTGAGGAAGAGAAAGAAACATTTTTTTCTTCCTTTCATTCATCCTAACAAATAGTTATTGAGCAGACTGTGTAGGAGGCAGGGCACTAACACAAGTTCAAGGATGAAAGTTCACTTTCCAGATGGATGAGTATTCCTTTTAACTTTTCAACCTTTTACAGTCTATGTTTGTTTGTTTGTTTAAGGGGTAGGTTTTCTCTTGGGACTTGCCCTTTTGTTTCTTTTCTGGGGTTAAAATTCTTTCATCTTGTTTCTTGAAGCTGACTTTGTCAGTTCAGGGGGTTTGTATCTTTTTTTTTTTTAAATAGGTAGAGCCAGCAAGATACTACAGATGTGTATTTGTATTTTGTTTTATTAGTTTTTTTAAGCATGTATGGTCATTTGCTCTGGAAAATGATTACGTTATAGTAATTTCAAAGTGTCAAAATAACAAAAACCACCCTACTCTTTTCTATTTGAAGTTTCAAATTTGGCAGTTTAAAGGAGGTTTAGACTAGAAAGACAGGTCAATTCAACATAAATGTTACAGCAGAACAAAAACTACGGACAAAGTAAAAAAAAAAAAGATTCTGATTGCCCTGTTAAGAGCCATGACTGCCAGCATTTAAAAGGGCGTCTGGGTATATCTATATACTTGTATATCTATATACTTATCTCTCTCTATATAGATATATTTCAAATTATTTGCTATGGGTTTTATGTTTATACAGCACAAGAATTCAGAATTAAAAAAATCCTCCGTTTGGAAAGAATTGGGAATTAGAATAATAGCATGTATTAAAACTAAAATAGTATGGAACACTCACTGAAAGAGAGCAAAAGTTCTAAGGAAGTCAAGGCAAACTTAACAAAGGATTTTTCAAACTGACTCTCCAAGCTGTCATATACAAATACTAGATTTTTACATCTTGGCAGCCTATTTTTACAACTGCAATGTAAACAGTTCCCAGAAGCAGAAGTCCACTTTACAGCTTCTGCTTACATTTTAGTACTCCCCTGCAAAGTTTTGGATGCATTATGATCTCGAAATTGAATCTCTCAAAGTTCATTAATACTTCTTTCTATATGGGAGAATAAAGACATTTCCAGCAGGAAATTCTATTTTCATTTCTTGACCACATAACCTAACAATGGTCTACTAGTGATTGGTTCAATTTGGATACTGGAAAAATACTGACCAAGACCCTGTGAAAAAGATAATGGGAAACAGAAACCCATTAGAAAAGCCATGCAGATAGGAAGTGATTTGTAGCCCCAGGAGGATTGGGTATCATTTGTGGTTCCATATACAGTTAAAGTAGCATCTGTCCTTGTGGATTTGACCATCCCTTTGATTTAACACAGAAGAGGGTTTGTTCTACCTTTAAAAGCACATCCTTTTTCCTCCCCCGCCCTTCAGACGCCTAAACAAGTGGCTGCTAAAAACAAGACTGGGGTTGTTTTCTTACTGAAAATCCAGTGTTTATCCAGTCCTTCCTTTTACAATTGGACTTTAGCAATCTAAGTAAAACATACAACCCTCAAATTTCTCAGAGCAATAAAGAGAAAAAAAACGTTGGTTTCTCTATGCAACATTATTTTCAGTATAAAGACAAAAGTTATAACGCTTAGTTTTCAGAAATAGCTACAAACTGTATGCTGAATCAACGACGAGACTTATTAGTGTGTTTCTAGGACAAAGTAAAAAGGATCAGAAAATGGTGTTCAAGTCTAGTGTGCAAAAATCTTGGTTAAAGGGAAGTCTTGATAGGCAAATACTTGATTAAATTAAATGATCCCCTTCATTTCTGAACTGAGATACTTATGCATTTATATTTATGATCAATGAAAAACAGTCCCTTGGGAGAGAGGTGCTAGGGATTGAACTCAGGGTCTGCAACACACAGGTGATATACCAGCCCTACCACATAATCCAAGTATAATCATCCTGCTATCTATCAGTTGGGTTATGTTTCAAAATACTTTGAAATCAAGTCTCATTAATACTGGTTTCCTTTAAGAAAAACATTATCTTGAATGCTACATTTCCATAATTGTACAATTCTGAGTTTTTAAAAACTTCTCTATACACTTATCCATATATCTAAAAAAAAAACTATAAAAAAAGTATCACCACCTGGTTTAACAATGAAAGCACCAGGTCTTCTGAAAAATGCGCTAGGAATATTGAATGGAGTCTTAATGTTTTCCTCACCACCACCCCTTTCTCTTGTTTCTTTTTGCAAAACTGGAACTTATTCTGGTTTCTGAAAAGAAAGTTTGTGTGCGTGTGTGTGTGTGTGTGCGTGTGCGTGTGTTTTAAAAATGCCCTACATTCAGAAATGTCTTAGAACAGGTCTTTAAAAAAACTAATAAATAATCATAAACCAAAACATACATTTAAATAAAATTACAGTACACCGTCGCTCCTAGAAGGTCCACTACGTTCGTACGAATATCCTTTCAGAGGTTCATAAATAAAGTCTTCTTGACTCCAACATCCTTTCCCGTCCTGTGATGAAGAATGTGCAGACATCTAAGGAATCGGTCACGTGACATCCAAACATCTCGATCAAGGTGGGACGGGGAGACAGTTTTACAAGATTTTTTGTATTTGTTGTTGGGGTTTTTTGTTGTTGGGGTTTGGTTGTTGCTTTGTTGTTGTTTTTTATCCAAGGGAAGACCATCGAATGCTATCGCCCCACTTCCTCAAGTCCTCCAAACCTGGAAGAAAACAAAACAAAAAAAGACACCGGATAAAGTAGGTGGCTCAGAATCCTGCAAGACCCGTTTTCTCCTTGGGTCAGTCTAGAGGGTAAAAGCTGACCACAAAGGCGGGCTGTTTTCCCCAGCGCCTAGGCACAGTCAGGGCTCAGAACCAGGACAGCTGAGGACGGGTGTGGAAGGGGGTGCACCTCTGCTTGGATGGGACATTCGGCCTCCAGGCCTGCCCAGAGTCCCCCAACCCCGGCCTCGAAGCCCGGCCTCTCCCCGCGGTCTTCTTTCCACCCCTTAAGAAACTTGGCACGGCTTCTCGGTTCTCTAGCCCCGGGTGGCCCCGCAGGAAGCGGCCTGCTCTCCTCCCCGTCCCACCCGCGCGCTCTCCTGCTCTCCCAAGTTGCCGGCACCTTGCTTACCGCGTCTGGCCCGGGTGCTGCCGCCTTCAGGCGGAGTTGGAGGTGCTGCGGAGCAGCCGGTGGCCATGCGGCTGCGAGAGCGGTGGCGGCTGGTGCTGGTGCTGTAGTTGGTGCGGGTGGGGGTGCGGGTGCGGGTGCGGGTGGGGGTGCACGTGTGGATGAGGATGTAAGTAAGGGTGGAGTGACTGAGGCTGAGGCTTGGGTTGGGGTTGAGGCTGAGACTGGGGTTGGGGTGGAGGCTGGATCTGGGGGACCGGGGGTGGAGGCTGCTGCTGCTGCTGCTGCTGCTGCTGCTGGACCAGGTGCTGCTGCTTCTGCCGCGTGGACTTGACGGCCAGGATGGCCTGACGGTTCTTGTACTGTACCATCTGCAGCGTGATCTCGGCGTTCCAGCCCTGGTCCTGGGGGCACCGAAAGTCGATCTCCTTGCCCTCCGCCATCACCACCGTGAAGTACATGTATTTGCCCTTGCGCTCCACGCAGTCCACGGTCTTCATGTTAGAAAAGTGCAATTCCTTAAGCTTGGCCGGCGGCTCCAGGCCGGCGACCGCGGGGCCACTGGGTTGGGACGGGTCGGCCGCCCCCTGCCCCGGCGGCGGCGGTGGCTGCGGCTGCTGCTGCTGCTGCTTGGGCGGGATGAGCAGCAGCCCCTCCTCGGTGAGGATGCAGCACTTCTTCTTCCAGAGCTGCAGCAGCCCGTCGCTGCGCTTCTCCAGCACGCCCTCCTTCAGCGCTTTGCACCCGCTGCTCTCCAGCATCCTCCCGGCATAAGCGGGTTCTCCGCTGCTCGGCTCGGCCTCTCCGCTTCCAGCGGCCCGGGCTGGGGGCAGCAGCAGCAGCCGCGCGCCGTCCTCGCCCCAGCGGCTCCCGCGGCCGCCGGTCCGGAGCGCGCAGAGGAGGCTCAGGCGCAGGAAGCAGAGCGGCGGCGGCGGCTCGGGGTCCCGGCACAGGGACAGCCGCGTCCTGATGCGCCTCCAGGTCCCGGGGCCGCGAGCTGCCCGGCCTCGGCCGTCCTCTGGCGAGCGCTCACTGAAGGGCACTGGCCGGGCCCCCTCGCGGCGCTTTTGAACGGGCCATCCTCCCCACCCCCGAGTGACACCCAGCGGAAAAGGCGGCTCCTGGCGGCCGCGCCGCGGGGGAAAGCCCAGCTCCGAGAGGCGCTCGGCGGCTGGCGCACGCCTCATTAACTTGGGGCCTTCCCGAAGCCGGCTGCGAGCACGCCCCCGCCCCTGGCTCCGCCCCTCGCCGCCCACGGGCTTCCGCACCGCTCCG